TTTAAATTCTCAATAACAAAACATTAGAGATCCAGAAAAAAAAAATAGAACATTTTCCTGACTATGGATATATATTATATATATCATATATATATATATATATAGAGTTGTGGGATCCATTTGGTCATATTCCCACTGAAAATATGAAGTCATTCCGATACCTTCTTTCGTTTTTTTATTTATTTCCGAAGTCATGCTAATCTTGTCTGCCGCCATGATTCATCATTACAACTTTTTCTTAAATCTTGCAATATTTTTATTAATTTTGCCTTATATATTATCATAAAGATCGAGTTCTTTAGTAAAATTCGTTAGAATACAATAGTTTTATTTTCGTTCTCTCTGGAACAATTCCTTTATAGGGCAAGACAAAAACAAAAATAAAAATTATGAATTTAAAAATGGCTAAAGAGATAAGCCCGATGAATAATGCATGTATATATAAGATGCTAATTATTTATAAAATCAAATAGAAAATTTAAATATATAAAGTATTCCGTTCACATAACAAAAAGGTTCATCATTCACCGATCTTTACACGTTGGAGAAAGAACATTTAATCTTAATACCTTTTATCATTAAATCACTATTAATCATATCATTATATGATGTGGATGTTATATATATATATATATATATATATTTATCAAACTTATGAATCTCAAACATGTAAACCACATGTTTTATATATTTCATAATAATCCATGAACGCATGTTTAGGAATATATATAAAAGGTTTAAATATAATATCTTAATAAGTATATACAATTTTATTATGTTTCTAAAATTTTGAAATCCACAAACCTTTATCAAAAAAAAATTTGAAATCCAAATTTTTCGGTTAAATAATCATTTGATTGTTTACCAACATGACTGAAAATTTTGGATATGATCCATGCTCCAGATTTAGTGACGCCATCCATAGCTTGATTTAATCAATAACTATAAAGTTGGTGGAAAATAAATTTAGGAGAAATATATTGAAAAAGATAGATAATGAACTTGTTTGAAAATGGACTAATGAAATAAAATAAAATAATAATATAAATGGCTAAGTTTATTTGTTTAAAAATAGAGAATCTGAGCCGCACGCGTGGCGGCAGTTAAAAATCATGGAGCTAAATCATTATCCCATACTTTTTTATATTAATATGTAATATTAAATTGCTCATATGTAGTTACTGGGAGTGTTAATAGATCTATAGCTGTTATTTAGATATGTTAGTTTGTTAGCTAAGAAATTTGATTTATAGAGTTACAATAATTATATATATATATACAATATTTTTTTGCATAAATTTAGAATATTTGTAGGTTTACTTTAATAAACTTTCAATGAAAAATGTTTTGAATGAATTTATTTAGTTTAAACCAATTAAATAATAATAATCAAATCTATTAAGGATTCTATCTTCTCCTTTTCTTTCGGTAAAACAATAAAAAAAAAGAACATTCTTATGTTCTTTCTTAAAATTACATCTATGATGTAATATATTTTGCACAAGAACGTTGAATTATACGATCCCGTAAAGCACCATATACGTATGTTCAAATGAAAAAAAATTCAAAAAAAGAGTATGAATACTTTGAAAATAAATTAGTTTCGGTAAATTTAATACTATTTTACCAAAAATATGAAATTCATTATTTGTCATGTATAAAAAAATATTCATCATATATATATATAAACGTAAACAGATAATTATGCGCGGCACTTTCGTATATTAAGAAATCTTGAAAAGATTTTTCCTTTTTGCAATATTATTTTTTTTTTAATATTTGGGTTAAAAGTTTGGTTAGATCTTACGGCGTACACGTGCATATAATTTTTTTTATATTTTTGTTAAAACACACACACGCACGCGCACGCACACATATATATATATATATATATATATATAGTCAGAGAAAAGGAGAAAATCTGTTATCGTGTAATCCCGAGAGAGAGAGCGCGACAATGGCCAATGTATTTGGAGGCGAACAGAACCCATGTTGGGACGGAGGTGGAGAAGGAAGCCGAGCAGCTCCACAGTTCAACAATGGCGGTTTCCCCATCGCAAACCTTCCTCCCCAGGTCTCCTTCCTCTGGTGTTTCTTCTTTTTTTTTTCTGGTTTTTTGCTTCTTCTTCTTCTTGGAAGCAGTACACAATGGAGATATGACAGCAATTCATATATATATATATACACACACTACTATTTGAAGGAAAACTCTCTGTATTTTCATGTCTTGTTGGTAGATTTTTTTAAATTATTTTCATGTGTTGTTTTTGTTAATGATTACCATCTGTCATTAGCATGGTTGAAGAAAACCCCTTCTGTCATTAACATATTCCTTCTTCTTCGTTAGGGTTTTTTTTTCCCGCGGAGTTGGGTCGTATTTTTCATATAAAAGGCTGTAATTTATTTATTTATTTAATTATTTTATTAATTTTACCTTGATTTTAATTAATTAATTATTTTATTGTTTAAAACAAAACACGGTTGCTAGATTAATACATTTTTGCTAGATTAATACACATCACTTTCGTAAAAAAAAAAAACAAAACAAAACACGGTTGCATATTTTACGCATCTCCCTTTTTTTCATTTCCTTATATTAACTTATAGAGACCTTATATACACACATATATATATATATATATATATATATATAATGTGTTGGAATCTGAAAATTTTGCAGGCAACGCCGTTGGGATTGGTTGGCGCAAAAGTTCCGGGCGCTATGAACATAATGGAGACAAGTCTCTCCAACAACAGAAACCAAATCCCCAGACAAAACCAAGAGTCTGTTCCTCAGCGGCCTAATGAGAAACTCAAGGCTTTGAATTTCCATATGTCCGCCATTGTCATCGACGACTGGCAGGTATAAACCATATATATGTATGTATATATATATATAAACAAAATTTACTTCCTTTCGTATGAATTCAGAAACCCTTTTCGTTTTAATATGAATACAGATATACCTTTTAACAAATTAAAAAAAAAAAAAAAAAAAAAAAAAAAACCATGATCTTTCGTCTTCTTCTTCTTGCTTGCTTTCTCGTAGTTGGAAGCGGTACACAATGGAGATCTGACAGCAAAATGTTACTTTGCGAAGAGGAAACTCGTGTGGGAAATTCTTGGGCTGACCGAGCGAAACGACACTCACGAGAGAGTAAGTTTCATTACACCAAAACTCAAAGTGCATATACATGGTTATAATAAGCATGTGATTGACACAGTGTCAAACCTAGAAAAACATGTTAGTGGGGGGCAATACATAAACGTTTCCGTATTCGATTCGGGTTTTGGTTTGAAAATAGATCGGTTCGGATCTTTCGGTTTTAGAAAAATATGTACAAATAGGTTATTATATCATATTCGGTCCGGTTAGATTTTGATTTTTATTAAAAGAAATTAGGTCTTTTATTAAAAAAATCTATTTTTCTATTTTTTAAAATTTGGTTCATTTTTGAAAATTAAGTTTTCTAAAAATAATAATTAAGAAAAATACCGTGTTCGACTATGAAAAATCGTACTAAACATTCATTCCAAAAGTTTTTATAAAAAAATATATAAAAAATTAATAAAATATACTGTCAAAGTAATTTTTACATTTTACTACTAAATTCTGTGATTTTTTTGTTTTTAAAAATTTATCTATAATAATTTTATTTATGATTTTTTGAAATAGATAATTTTTATAAAAAAACTAGATAAAATTGCAATTTTTATATATTTTCAATTTAATTTTCTTTATTTTTTATATTCTGTTTTAATATTAGATTTGTAAAATTTTTTTTACAAAATTGAGAGAGAGAAAATAAAAAAATAGATGAAAATAAAGTTTAAAA